TGCCAAAGATTCCACAAAAGCATCCAGAACTCATTCATGCGTTGTATTTGGAATAGGGTCGCTAACACCAATAAATACCAGGTATTCAGCAGCTTCAGGGTTAAGCCCAAGCCAAGAAGTAGGACAATTCGATATTAGACAAACAAACAAACGAACAAAAACTTGGAATCAGTGTAACGGGGACCTACACCTTCATAAAATGTCAACACTGATCGCAAACATGAAGAGAGCATTATGTATGTATACGCAAAATCATAACGAATATCAGCGGTATGGGGCCCCCACTTCAAAAGGATTACAAAGTGGCGAGTTAAAATATATGAGCCAAAGAGATAAATTACAGAAAATTATACAAAACATCACAATACAAAACACGGACACACACACAACACAAAACAAACACAAAAACACATCACACCACGTACCGTTTGTAGATCCACCTGCATAGACAGCAAAGTGTTGGGGGTTATCATTGGCCCATGACCTATGACCTCGAGCAAAGGGTGAGTCACATTGTTAATTAGTGTGATTTGAAGTTTACGTTTGAGCCACTTCGATGGGTCCAAAATACCTTTCACCAGGGCTGCGGGAAACAAAAGTATGGATTATTATTAGTTTTCATCTGGGTATCGTTAGGCTATTTTTTTTTTAAATCTAAGGAGTAAAGCAACAAATTTCACCTTTTTTTCAAAATACTTCAGGTCATATTCATATTGATTCTTTTTCCTTTTCTTCCAAACCTTTCTTCTTCTCTTTCTCTCTCCCTCCCCCTTCCTCTCCCTCACCACCCCCTCCCTTTCCAAACGGTCTCACTACCCTTTGCCGTAACTGGCTTATCATTCTCCACTTGTGAGGGTGTAGACGAGACCTCATCTCACCGCTGCTGAAAAAAAACTTCCTGAAACTCCCTCCCTCCCCCCTCCCTCTCCCCTACCCATTATCATACCTGGCTCATCGTTTCCGCCTGACGAAGGGTGATAACGACCCCCCCCCCCCATCCATCTCCCAGCTGATCACCCTGAAACTCCCTTCCTTTCTCCTCTCCTCTCCCACTCCCCCTTACCTGGCTCGTCGTTCTCCACCTGATGAAGGGTGATGATTAGTCCCCCCATTTCCCCGCTGAACACCTGACTGAAATGCCCTCCCTCTTCCTCCTGACGCCCACCAATACCCATTATCCCCCGTCCCACTCCCCATGATTAGTCCCCGGCTGATCAACCGGAAACTCCCTTCCTTTCTCCCTCCTCTCCCACTCCCTTTACCTGGCTCGTCGTTCTCCACCTGATGAAGGGTGATGATTAGTCCCCCATTTCCCCGCTGAACACCTGACTGAAATTCCCCTCCCTCTCCCACCCCGACACTCCACCAATACCCATTATCCCCCGTCCCACTCCCCATGATTAGTCCCCCGGCTGATCACCCTGAAACTCCCTTCCTTTCTCCCTCCCTCTCCCACTCCCCCTTACCTGGCTCGTCGTTCTCCACCTGATGAAGGGTGATGATGAGTCCCCCCATTTCCCCGCTGAACAACTGACTGAAACTCTCGTTGGCAAAAAACACGTAGCATTTCCCGGTGAAGGTCGGCACGGGGGTGAACAGGCGGCAGCAGTCTCTCCCTTGGATTTCATTCTCGTTGAAACTGCACTGGATGATCATTTCTTCGCAGCTGTGGAAGAGATAGATGTTTTTAATGTTTTTTTTTATTTATCTATTTCTTCGCAATTGTGGAATGGTTGGATGTTTTGAATGTTTTCTTTATTTATCATTTCTTCGCAGCTGTGGAATAGATGAAGTTTTTATTTTTATTTTATTATTTTTTATTCATCTGTCATTTCTTCGCAGCTGTGGAAGAGATAGATGTTTTTAATGTTATTTTATTTATCTATTTCTTCGCAACTGTGAATGGATATTTTTATTTATTTTAAATCTATCATCATTTCTTTCGCGACGTGAATAGATGGATGTTTTTAATGTTATTTATATTTATCTATTTCTTATAACTGTGGAAATGGATTTTTAATTTTTTTTAATTATTATAAATATATCATATCTCCGCAGCTGTGAATAGATGGATGGGTGTTTTTAATGTTTTTTTAAAATTCATTTATCTATTTCTTCGCAATTGTGAAATGGATGTTTTTACTGTTTTTTCCTTCGCAACATTGGAATGGATGGATGTTTTTAATGTTTAAAAATACGTTTTTAATTTTTCTTTTTATTTATTTATCTATTTCTTCGCAACTGTGGAATGGATGTTTATAATGTTTTTTTATTTATCTATCATTTCTTCGCATCTGTGGAATAGATGGGTTTTAATTTTTTATTTATCTTTTTATCTATTTATCTATCATTTCTTCGCATCTGTGAGATAAATGGAAGGATGGATGTTTTTAATGTTTTTTTATCTTTTTTTTTATGAGGACATAGGAGTAGTTTATTTGTTTTTAAAGTTATGTAAGGCTGTAAGTTAGAGGGAGGTGAAGATGGTAAAGAGAGAGAGAGAGAGAGAGAGAGAGAGAGAGAGAGAGAGAGAGAGAGAGAAGAGAGAGAGAGAGAGAGAAGAAAGAATGAGAAAGAAAGAGAGAGAGAGAGAGAGAGAGAGAGAGAGAGAAGAGAGAGAGAGAGAGAGAGAGAGAGGAGAGAGAGGAGAGAGGGAGAGGAGACGGAGAGGAGAGAGAGAGAGAGAGGGAGAGGAGAGAGGGAGAGGGAGAGGGAGAGGGAGAGGGAGAGGAGAAGAGGGATGAGAGAGAGAGAAAAGGGGGGAGGAGAGAGAGAAAGAGAAGGGAGTGGGGAGGGAGAGGGGGACAGGAGAGGAGGAGAGATGAGAGGAGAGACAGTGAGAAAGATAAAAGAAAAAAGAGACAGACAGATAGACATAGACAGACAGAAAAAAAGGAAAAGAAAAACTAACCGAGCGCTTCAAACATTAAACCAAACATTCACAAAGAACAACAACAACAACAAAAAAACACCTACTCCAGAGACACGCGATCAATAATCTGCGTCACATTCATCTTCTTCTCTTCCAGAAGCTTCTCAAACTCTCCCTGAAGTTTAACGAGCTGGGTCTGTCCTTCCGCCGTCATGAAGAGCCTGCGACTGCCGATCCACGGACTCGCAGCGAGCATCATCATGTAATTGGCTAACTCGGGACGCACGTTGTTCTCTGGAAGGGAGTGTTAGTGTAAAGGAATATCTTTTTATTTCTTCGTTTTAGTGTGAGTAGAAAGTGGTATCTTTTTAATTCTTAATTTTAGTGTTAGTGTAAAGGGGTATTTTTTCAAAAATTTTGTCTCTGTAAGGGAGTGTTAGTGTAAAGGGGTATCTTTTTTTAATTAATTTTAGTGGTAGTGTAAGGGGTATTTTTTCAAATCGCAATTTTTGTCTCTGGAAGGGAGAGAGTATAAAGGGGTATCTTTTTAATTCTTAATTTTAGTGTGAGTGTAAAGGGGTATTTTTTTCAAATCTCAATTTTCGTCTCTGGAAGGGAGAGTTAGTGTAAAGGGGTATCTTTTTAATTCTTAATTTTAGTATTAGTGTAAAGTATTATTTTCAAATCTCAAGGGAGTGTTAGTGTAAAGGGGTATCTTTTAAATTAATTTTAGTATTAGTGTAGGGTATTTTTTCAAATCTCAATTTTCATCTCTGGAAGGGAGAGTTAGTGTAAAGGTGTATCTTTTTAATTCTTAATTTTAGTGTTAGTGTAAAGGGGTATTTTTTCAAATCGCAATTTTCGTCTCTGGAAGGGAGAGTTAGTGTAAAGGGGTATCTTCTTTATTTTTATTTTTTGTATCTGAAAGACAGAATTAGTGAAAAAGGGGTATTTTTCAGTTCTTTCGTCTATTGAATGGTAGGGGGGGGTAAAGTTTGTTTACTCTTTATCTTTTTCATTTTATTGTTTTATCTACTTTCTTGATAAACAAAAAAGTTGTGTGATATATGAAGCAAATTTTGTTTGTTATTCATTTTTTGATGGTTTCTGTCATGATTTTTATCATTATCATTATCACCATCACTATAACCACTAACGCCACTCTCATCATAATTGCAATCACCACCACAACCATCATCATCATAACCGCCATCAACTTCACTACCACCATCACCTTCATCATTACAATCCTAAAATCATCATTACCATCAACACTAACATCACAATCACCAATTATCACCACATAAACATCACCACACCACCACCATCACTCGGTGTGCAAATTTTTCATCTAAAAAAAAAAAAATCAAGCTTTTCATAGAAAGAAAAAAAAATTACTTATTCGGAAATCCGGGATTCTGACAGCAGAGACGAAGAGGGTCACATGATTCGTAATACACGAATAATCTGTTCATTTTCCAACTTAAAAAAAAAGAAAAAAAAGTTCGGAGTCAGCGAATTTTAAAATAAACCGTAGAGGAAATATATGAAACGAAAGAAAAATAAAAGGAAGAAGAAGAAGAAAAAAAAAAAAAAGAGGAAAAAAGACGGGTATAAAATTAGTCGACTTGAGTGACGACATGTTTACGTTACTCCCCCCCCCCTTCCCCTCCTTCATTACACTTCCTCTGATTATAGGATTACCGAGCGCTTGACCTATCATCTATTCAACCACGTAAACCACCCGGAAGTAGTTACCTCATACTCATTGCTCTCTCGTGGGCTTAGCAAGGCCATTGAAGCAGGGAACTTGAGGGAGGGGGGGGGGAGAAAACTTCTAAAAGGTAATCATTTCCTCTTGGTAGTTTTATGCGCTTTCAAGTCGCCAATAATTTGTTTACTCTTGCGACCCAATTTTTTTTTTCTTCTTCTATCTGCTTGTCAACTATGTGTGCGTGTGTGTGTGTTCTTTGTATGTGTGTGTGTGTGTGTGTGTGTGTGTGTGTGTGTGTGTGTGTGTGTGTGTGTTGTGTGTGTGTGTGTGTGTGTGTGTGTGTGTGTGTGTGTGTGTGTGTGTGCAAGCTAGTACGTGTGTATGTCTGTCTGTCTTCTCTCTCTCTCTCTCTCT